AAAAAAGAAATGGCAAATGTTTAAGGTGATGGTTATATCAATGATCCTGAACATTTGTGTGTATGAAATATACTGTACTCCATAAAAATATGCACAATTATTTTGTTTTGTTTTGTTTTTTTTAAAGAGAGAGTGAGGGAGAGGGAGGGGGGGAGAGAGAGAGAGAGAGAGAGAAAGAATTTTTTTTTTTTTTTTTAATATTTTATTTTTTTTTTTTTAGTTTTCAGCGGTCACAACATCTGTTTGTATGTGGTGCTGAGGATCGAACCCGGGCCGCACGTATGCCAGGTGAGCGCGCTACCGCTTGAGCCACATCCCCAGCCCCAAGAGAGAGAATTTTTTAATATTTATTTTTTAGTTCTCGGCGGACACAACATCTTTGTTTGTATGTGGTGCTGAGGATTGAACCTGGGCCGCAGCGAGTGCGCTACCACTTGAGCCACATCCCAAGCCCTGCACAATTATTTTGTGTCAATTAAAATAATAATAAAGATTAAAAAGAGATAAATAGCAATATCTCTGGAGCTACACTTCTAGGTCTAAAGCTGGCTGTCACTTACCAGCTGTGTAATTTTGGACAAGTGATTTAACCTCTCTGTGTCTCAGTTTCCTCATCTGTAAAATTGGGATAGTGACAATACATAGTCCAAACAGTTGATATGAAGATTAAATTGGATCAATTCTAAGAGTTGCATATATTAAAACTTAAAATTTTATGAAAAACTACATACACAAAAGCAGACAGAAAATAATGAACTACATACCTTACTACTCAGCTTAATTAACAAATTTATGCTGATTTTGCCTATCACCCCTATTTTGTTTTTGTTTCATATTTCAGTGCAATCCCAGATATACCATTTCACCCATAAATACTTTAGTATTTCTGAATAAAACTTTAAAAATATTTTTTTAGCTGTAGATGGACACAATACCTTTATTTTATTAATTTATTTTTAGTGGTGCTGAGGATTGAACCCAGTGCCTCACACATGCCAGAAGAGTGCGCTATCACTGAGCTACAACCCCAGCCCTGAAAAAGATTTCTTAAAAAAAAAAAAAGATGCTAGGGCTGGGGCTAGAGCTTGGTGGCAGAGAGTTTGCCTAGCATGTGTGAGGCACTGGGTTTGATCCTTGGCATTGCATTAAAAATTAAACAAAATAAAGGCATTCTGTCCATCTTCAACTACAAAATTTAAAAAAAAAGATATTCTTTTACAGTAATTAGCAATATTAATAATTAGCCAAGCTAACAACAATTCTTTCTTCTCTTTCTTTTGTGGTACTCAGGTCAAACCTGGGACCTTGGGTATGCTTGGCAAGCACTTTACTACTGAACTATTTACCCTCTGCAACAGTAATTCTTTAATATCATCTAACATCTATACTTGGTATTCACATACTTCTGATTTAAGATTCTCAATTTAGCTGGGCACGGTGGCAAACCCCTATAATTCCAGCAACTCAGGAAGCTGAGGCAGGAGGATCTCAACTTTGAGGCCAGCCTCAGCAACTTAGCAAGACCCCATCTCAAAACTTAAAAAAAAAAAAAAAGGACTAGGGATGTAACTTGGTGGAAAAGCCCCCCTGGATTCAATTCCTGGTATCCTCCAAAATTCTTTTTTTTTTTTTTTTTTTTAAAGAGAGAGAGGGAGAGAGAGCCCAAAATTCTTAATTTAACTTTTTTGGATGTGTCAATGATATGTCATTGCTGACCAGGAATCATTGTTTCTTTTTATAAACTCTACCTAAAATAATAGTGTGTTTACAATGACATCTTAGATTCAGAGAAATGTTATATATGTAGTGTGTTAGAACTATTAAGTATTTGTACCTGCTCACCCAAAAACTGGGCCTGTATTATGTTCCAGACCTATTCTAAGTTCTTTACATGTTGGATCTCCACAACCTCGAGGTTATACTCTTATTCTTCCTATTTTACCTGAGAAAATAGGCATGAAGTTATGTAATGTCCTAGTCATGCAGCAGCTAGCCAGTATGCAGCCAGAATTTGAACCCAATTTACCTCACAGCCCACTCTTAATCCAAAGCAACAGGGATATCCTGAAGTCAGCCCATCTTCCTAGTAACTGAGTCTCCAAAAGCATCAGTCCAAACAAACAATTTTTTAAAATGACTGCATGTATAAATCTGCTTTTAAATTTGTTTTATAATACTTAAAAATGGTATCAAGTTATCAAATCTCTCTAAAGTCCATTTAAACTGGATCAATTTTTCAGATTAAAAAAATTTTTTTTCCTCTTTTTCTTACAGTGCTGAAGATCAAACTTGGGGCCTCAGGCACACTAAGCACACACTCTATCATTGGGCACCATCTTGGATTAAAAAAAAAAAAAAAAAAAGATTTTTTTGCGGGGGAGGTGGTGGTATTGGACTCAGCAGCACTCTACCACTGAGCTACATTCCCAGCCCTTTTTATTTTTTATTTTGAGTCAAGATCTCACTAAGTTACTTAGAGCCTCACTAAGTTGCTGAGGCTGCTCTCAAACTTGCAATACTCCTGCCTCAGCCTCCTGAGCTGCTGGAATTACAGGCATGCACCATCACAATCCAGCTGGATGGGTTTTTTTTTAATGTAAAATTATTCTGTTATTTGTTTCTCAGAACTCAGAAAAAAATTTTTCCTCTTTTAGACTACACTTGAAAAAAGTAAGTTGTCTAAAAGGGAGTACTAACTCTGGTGGCAACAGATCTAGTATCATAAAAGATACACAGAACTTAGCCATATAAAGGCACACAAACTCAGACAAAGCAATCTCATGTCAACATAACATCTGCAAAGATGACGACTGAGTGAAATACCAAGGAACATTTTGAAGCTCATCCCAAGAGTGGAATCCATAAAGATCGTTTGAGATCTGCAGCTGGGTTATTAAGAAAACTGCAAAGTCATCAACAGTTGGCATTTATAGAATGCTCTCTGAATGAATGATGCCACAGTACGCACTTTGAAAATGAGATAAGCTGTTGGCCCTGAAGATGTTTAATCTAAACAAGTCACTGGGCTGGGGATGTAGCTCAATGATAGAGTGCTTGCCTAGCATGTGTGAGGCCTTGGGTTCAAAAATAAAGAAATAAAAAATAAAGAGATAAGTGTATTCCCACATAAATAACAAGATCAAAAGGGAGAATATCAAATCTAATAAAGAAAAATTATATTTTAAGAGGGAGAATATCAAATCTAATGAAGAAAAATTATATTACTATGGAATAAAGTGTTACTAAAGAAAGAAATAGAACTAAAAGGTTCTTGAGGGCCTAAGCCTGTCCACTTACAGTCTCATCTCAGAGGGGTGTGAGTCATCATCCTCTCCCATTATAATGATGCCTTTGAGCTTGACATTGCCCGTAAATCTGCCAGAATGCAAAAGAGAAGGTTGTCAACCTGGGATTGTATCCCTACTTAGCTGTGTGACCCCTAGTCAAGACCCTTCCCCTTTCTGACCTTCAATGTACTCATCTGTCAGACTTGTACTTGATCATTTCTAAGATCATGTCCACCTCTGGCATTATGCAATTCTAAGAAATTTACATCTACTTTTCAGTTATTGCTCAACAAATATATCTGCTTCCAGTCTGCATCAAAAGAGTTATGATGCTCTCCTCCTAAAACCCACCAAAGTATTATCCCATTTCTACAAACAGATGTGTGCTCTTGACCCAAGCAATGAATGAATCCATCTGAGAAGACAATTGTGTACAGCCTATTTAGCCTGAGGCAGACACCAAGGAGATACTTACGGAATATTAAACAGAAGCTCTTCATCTGCATCACTTTCAACAAACTGGAGAGAACGGGGAGGAGGGAGGAGAAAGCAACAAATATTTGCTGAGAGCCTATGTCTTCAGGCATCTCCCACCCTGTTCTGCAAACTGGGGTGCAATGCAGTCAACCTTCCTCGGTTTTCCAGGACTTATAAATTTGAAACTAATATGTCTATCCACAGAGTTCTGATAAAGACCATCCAATTAGAGGTTTCCTAACCCGGAGTCTCCTGAATTACAAATTGAGAGATCAGTGCTCATGTGCATTTTTCTGGAGAGGGTCCATAACTTTCAACCGGCTTAGCTCTCAAGGGGGCCTGCGCTCTAGATCGGAAACACCCATGGTCTCCCTTGCCCGTCCTCACCAGGTGACACGATCACGCAGCCACTGGGACCAATGGTCAAACAGAAGGGAAAACGCCCTCACGGCCATCCTCCTCCTTAACCCAGGCAGCCTTGGAACACAGCGTTACGCTGTGTAGAACCAAGCGCCCGCTTCCACTCTCCGGGACTCAGTTTCCGTATCTGCAAAGCGGGGAAGATGGCCCTGCTCGCCTCCCAAAAGGCAAGCGCGAGGCCGGCAGCGGAAAGCGCCTGGCGACCTGGCTGTCGTTATTTTTAGCATCAAGAGTGAGGCTGACAGAGCAGCCGGGTGTCCGAAGGCCCCGCGGATCCCGCCCCGCCCGCCCCGGCGCCGGCAGCCCACCTTGGAGCGGTCTGTCCGCTCCTCCCACGGCTTGAAGACGCCGCGGCCGCTGCCCTCGCGGCTCTCGTTGAGGCACTGCAGCCGCTCCAGGTCGATGCGCAGGTACAGGCCGTAGGCCAGGCCGCGCTGCTCCGGCGGCTCCTCCCGTTCCGCGGCGCAGCGACAGCCGTCCCCGCCGTGGCTGTGGCCGTGCGACATGGCGACGCCGCCACCCGCGCGTCCCCTCGGCCCCGCTGCCGCTCGCGCAGCTCTCTCTCGGCTGCCCTGCGGCCGCCAAGCGCAGTGTCTGACGCGTCGTAAAAGGCGCCCCTGAGCGGCGCATGCGCCCGCGGGGGAGGGGGGCGTGGATGTGGGCGTGGCTACGATGGGCGTGGTTCTGATGGGAGTGGCTCGGGCGGACTTTGACAGGCGTCTTCCTGTCAACACCGGCTTCAGAACCGTGGAAACCGAAGGGTAGAGATGCTGCTGGTGTTATCAGCAGACTGTGGTGCGGGATTCGAATCCCTCTCCCCGAGATTGAAGTCTGCGCTTTCTTCTTCAGCTGCCACGTTTCACTGGAGCTGGTGGAGGAAGGCGCGCGGAGTGCTAAGGCCCTGAGCTCTTACCACGGCTCTTATCAGTGCCTCACACGTGCGCTCGGGCGTGGAGAGTTCACACACCCAATTTCCCAACCACGTTCTTGATAGCGGGCTTTGTGGACCTCCTGACCCGGAGACAAGTGCTAGGATGGTATGACGCTCTGAATAAGTCATTTACCCTATTCTGAGACTGTTTCCTTGTCTGTAAAGTGGGAAGAATATTAAATGAAATAATGCGATTCAAGATCCCAGAGTGATGACTGACACAAGGTAGGTTATTACCATCAAATCTAAGCACTGGGCAAGTGACTTAACCTCTCTGAGGCTCAGTTCAAGTAAAGGGCTTCAACCAGATGGTTTATTTTCATTTTATTTATTTTAGTACTGGCGATTGAACCCAGGTGCATTTTGCCACTGAGTTACCTTCCCAGCCCTTTTTATTTTGAGATAGGATCTCGCTAAGTTGTTTGGGGCCTTGCTAAATTGCCGAGGCTGGCCTTGAACGTTCGATCTTCCTGTCTGGGCCTCCTACGTTGCTGGAATTATAGGCGTGTGCCACCATGCCCCGTGCTAGATGATCTTAAAATTGCCTCCCCTTTGTGATATTTCAGAACAGCTCTTTTATTTATTTTTTTTAAATATTTATTTCTTAGTTTTTCGGTGGACACACCATCTTTGTTTGTATGTGGTGCTGAGGACCGAACCCGGGCCGCACGCATGCCAGGCAAGCGCGATACCGCTTGAGCTACATCCCCAGCCCAGAACAGCTCTTTTAAATGGCTGATTTAATCTTATTTTTTTTTTTTAGAGAATTTTAATATTTATTTTTTAGTTTTTGGCGGACACAACATCTTTATTTGTACGTGGTGCTGAGGATCGAACCCGGGCCACACGCATGCCAGGCGATCGCACTACCACTTGAGCCACATCCCCAGCCCCTAAATGGCTGATTTAAAAGATTGTGATATACTTTTTTAAATGATTATTATTATTGTTGTTGTTGTTGTACTGGGGATTGAACCCAAGGGCTCTTTACCATTGAGCTAAATCCCTAGCTCTTTTTATTTTTATATAGAGTCTTACTAAGTTGCTTAGGTCCTCACTGAGTTGCTGAGGCTGGCTTCTAACTTGCCTTCCTCCTGCCTAAGCCTCCAGAGTCCAGAGTCACTAGGATTACATGTGTGCACCACATGTTGGGTGTAACCAACATATTGAAAGAACAAAATAGAGAGGCTGGGGTTGTGGCTCAGCCACGTGTGAGGCCCTGGGTTTGATCCTCAGCACCACATAAAAATAAATTAATAAAAAATGGGTATTGTGTCCAACTACAACAAAAAAAATATAAAAAAGAATAAAATAGAATACAATACAAAAACTCAGTACGTATCTTAAATTTAGTCTCAATTGATGAAACTTTTGTTTATATTGGAGTTTGTGTACCCAAGTGCAATGGAAAGTGTTTTTCATAGTGTCAAAAAGAATTGAAAAGGGCTGGGTCTGTGGCTCAGTGGTAGAGCCCTTGCCTAGCATGTATGGAGGCACTGTGTTAGATTTTCAGCACCACATATAAATAAATAAAATAAAGGTCCATTGACAAGTAAAAAATATTTTTAAAAAAGAATTGAAATGAACAGTGTGCCACTACATATTCAGGAGGCTGAGGCAAGAGGATCAGAGGTAGGAGAATGAAAAGTTGGAGGCCAACCCAGGCACTGTGGCACATGCCTGTAATCTCAGCCACTCAGGAGGCCAAAGCAGGAGGATGGCAAGTTCTAAATCAGCCTCAGAAACTTAGTGAGGCTTTAAGCAACTTAGAGAGACCCTGTCTCAAAATTTAAAATAATAATAAATAAAAGGGCTGGGGGTGGAACTCAGTGGTAAAATAACCCTAGGCCTAGGTTCAATCCCCAGTACAAAAAAAAAAAACAGAAGAAAAAAGAAAATTCAAGGCCATCTTGGATATCTTAGCAAGACTCTGTCTCAAAATTTTTTTAAAAAATTTACAGGGCTGGGATGTAGCTCAGTAGTAAAGCCACCTGGGTTTAATCCTCGCTACTGTGAATATATAAATAAATATTTATTTATTCTTTAAAAAGAATCAAAATGATTTTGTTTTCAGAATAGAATGCTCTGTGACAGAAAGAGGAAAACCAGGATCCCAGGAAGTTCTGAGATACTCTGAACTTCACAGCAGGCTCAGGAGTGCCACGGTAAGACTACTAAACTACAAACAAAAATATTGATCTGTTCAAGTTTTCCTACTTCAGTTATTTGTGAAGTAGACAAGATTGGTTCTGCTTCAAAGTAGCTCTAGTTCATAAATTATGCCTATTTTCACATCACAATCTCAGGCAAGGGCCCAGCGTGTAGTGTTCATTATTAGTGTTCATTTAATTGAATGATATACTCAGTAGCTTTTCTTTGGAAAAACTGAGTCTCACTTAAGGACCAGTTAGCTAATTCTGCGTGAATTCATCCTAAATTCATCCTAAAACTTCAACAACAACATTTATTAACAACTTAAACACAAATATTTATTATTTCTCAAAGTTTTGTGGATAGTTCTTTGCTGTGCCAGTTTGGAATGGCCTCACATACCTCATTGATATTGGCTGTTATATGAGATGATAGGGTCTATGTCTCCAACAAACTGTCTGAGCTCAATTACAAGGTGACAGTCACCGAGTTCCCAGGAGCAAGAGAAAGCAAGACCCAATTGCACAAGCACATTTTAACCTGCTGTAATTTTTCTGTAATGTCCTATGTGGCTAGCTTTGAATTTGCAATCCTCCTGCCTCAGCCTCCCAAGCTGCTGGAATTGCAGGCATGTGCCATTGCGCCCAGCTAAACTTCACCTATTGATTAGAGAAACTACAAAATACTGGGGCTCCTTCCACCTTACCTCTTATATATCTGTGTTAGTTTCTTTTGTTGTGTAACAAATTACTCCCAAACTTAATGGCTTTAAACTACAATTAACATTTGTAATCTCACAGTTTCTGGGAGTCAGGTCTTTGGGAGTAACTTTGCTGGGTGGTTCTGGCTTGGGGTCTCCCATGGAGAGAAGGCTTAAGGATCTTCTTCTGGAAGGCTTGACTGGGGCTTAAGGATCCACTTCCAAGATGGCCAACTCACATGGCAGCAAACTATGCAGGCTGTTGGAAGGAGGTCTCAGTTCCTTGCTTCATGGACCTCACCATAGAACTGTTTGAATCTTTTTTGTTGCTGTTGTGGGGGTTACCGGGGATTGAACCTGATCAGGGGTACTCAACCATAAGCCACATCCCCAGCACTCTTTTGTATTTTATTTAGAGACAGGGTCTCACTGAGTTGCTAAGCGCCTCACGGTTGCTAAGGCTGGCCTTGAACTTGCCACTCCCCACCTCAGCCTCCTGAGCCACTGGGATTACAGTGTGCCCTACTGCAACTGGCCCTGTTTGAATATCTTATGTTCTGATCACAGCTGGCTTTCACCAGAGCAAGTGATCCAGAATAGAGCAAGGTAGAAACCATTAGGCTGCCTATGAGCTAGCTTTGGAAGACACATACTGGCAGTTCTGCACTCTCCCTTGGCTTCATAGGTCAGCCGTGTTCACGGACATGTGAAAGAATGGCACAAGAATGCAAATACCAGGATCTGGAACTCATTAGAGGCCACCTTAGAGGCTGGCTGCCATACAACCATATCTGTTAAGTGGAAATAAAAATATTTTCAGGGCTGGGGTTGTGGCTCAGTGGTGGAGTACTTGCCTAGCATGCGTAGGCACTGGGTTCGATTCTCAGCACTGCATATAAATAAATAAAATAAAGGTCTATTGACGGGGCTGGGGATGTGGCTCAAGCGGTAGCGCGCTCACCTGGCATGCGTGCAGCCCGGGTTCGATCCTCAGCACCACATACAAACAAAGATGTTGTGTCCACCGAAAACTAAAAAATAAATATTAAAAATTCTCTCTCTCTCTCTTTAAAAAAAAAAGGTCTATTGACAACTAAAAAATTTTAATAAAAAAAAAATCTTCAGTCTATTCATGTTTCATTGGTAATTTGACTGTAGATGAATTCTTTCATAATGTTGAAGCAATTGCTCTGTTTTCTTCTAACTTTGAGAAAGCATCTTTGAGGGCCAGGGTTATGGCTCAGGGATTGAACTCTTGCCTAGCATGTGTGAAGCACTGGGTTCAATTCTCAGCATTGCATATAAATAAATAAATAAATAAATAAATGTTTTGTTGACAACTAAAATTTTATAAAAGAAAGCATCTTTGAATGTACCCCCTCCTTTTCTGAGTTTTGAAGACCTTCTCTGTGTTCCCTGGTATTCTGAAGGATGATGATGTGTACCTCATTGTGTAGACCAGAGTGTGAGTGTGCAGGTTAGGACATCTCCATGTGTGTGCACTTGGTTCCTTGCCAGGCAACAGATTTAGGTATATAAAGAGAAAGGAGCCTTCCACCTCCTTATAGTGCACAGATCTGAGAGGTCCAGAATTCCTATTTATTTATTTATTTGACTGGGGATTGAACCCAAGGGCATTCTACCACTGAGCTGCATCCCTAGTCCTTTTTTTTAAATATTTTTTTTTACGGAGCCCAGACCAGAACCCACCATGTGCAGCCTCAGCTGGAGCCAAGAACCATGTGCCTGCATGGAGAGGAACACCACACTGTGGTTCCCTATCCACCAAAGTGTGACTGCACCCAAACCACCTACATCTTGGGACATTACAGCCACAGCCATAGCCCTTTCCACATGGTAATCTCCACTGTGGGACAATGGACAGGGCCAGGAGGCAGCTGTCTGCTGCAGCACTGCGTGCCACACTGTGCCATCACCGAACAGGCTGCCCAATGCTATCACACAGCCCATCCTCCCAGCCCCATCTGTGAAAGTGGATGCCTCCATCTTGGGACACCTCAACTGCCATATTGGGTTACCTCCACTGCCACCTCCGCCATATTTAGTTGGGGCAGATTCCATCTTGGGACACCAACTGAGGCCTGGAACCCCGATAGCAAGGTACCTACAGGCTTGATGCTATTGCTGCCACCAACTAGGAATGTGGCCACTTCTATCTAGGGACAATAACCAGGAACTGTAAGACCATCACCAAGGTCTCTGGGGGCCCAGTGGCACCAGAAGTATCCCTACTAGGTGTGCTAACAGTCACCATCCTGTTGCAGAGGCAACAGGGAGCCTTGCATAGGGTAGCCTCTCTCTCCTTTTTTTTTCCCTCCTGCTAACAGCCAACTTCTGTTGATTCCCCTTTCACTCTTCCTATAATCTAATACCTCTATATTCTCACATCCTACCTCATAAACATCACATCCTACTCCCTTCCCTCTCTCTCTGTTCACCACTACAAACTCTAAACCCTATTCAAACCTACTGCCTTTATGGTAGAAGATAACCAAACTCATCATTTCTGTTTATAGTGGCAAAACTGTGTCTAAATAGAAGCTAATTGATTTATAGCTGCATAGTTGCATTGGGTGCTGTAAACGTTGATCTTTTTTTTTTTTTTTTTTTTTTTTAAAGAGAGAGGAGAGAGAGAGAGAATTTTTTAAACATTTATTTCTTTTTAGTTATTGGCGGACACAACATCTTTATATGTGGTGCTGAGGATCGAACCCGGGCCGCACGCATGCCTGGCGAGCGCGCTACCGCTTGAGCCACATCCCCAGCCCCTTGATCTTTCCCTTAAAGGTGAGGTATTCCATAACCTGCAGGGACATTACAAGATTATAGAGTAGAAACTTCAATACCTTAGATCCACAATGCAAGAGAGGAAGAGACATAGACAATATGAAAAAACAAGGGAGGAAAATGCCCCAAACAAACCAAGATGGTATAACACTAGAATCCAATGACAGTGCTATAGATGAAATGACAGAAAAGGAGTTCATAATGTACATGATTGGGGGCTGGGGTTGTGGTTCAGTGATAGAGCGCTTGCCTAGCATGTGTGAAACACTGGGACACTCAGAGCCACATAAAAATAATAATATAAAAGTATATGGGCTGGGGGTGTGGCTCAGCGGTTGAGGGCTCGCCTAGCATGTGCGAGGCCCTGGGTTCGATCCTCAGTACCACGTAAAAATAAAATAAAAGTATTGTGTCCAACTACAACTAAATAAACAAAATATTTTTTTAAAAAAGTATTATGTCCATCTATAACTAAAAAAAACATATTTTTAAAAAAGAATGTACATGATTAAAATGATGTGTGAATCAAAGAATGACCTAAATGAGCACATACAGGCAAAAATTGATCACTCTAACAAAGAGATAAGAGAGCAAATATAGGTAGCAAAAGATTACTTTAAGAGAGAGATTTTGGGGAAAAAAAAACAGAAATCTTTGAAATGGAGGATTTCATAAATAAACCAAATAAAAACTCAATAGAAAGTGTCACCAACAGACTAGATCACTTGAAAGACAGAACCTCAGACAATGAAAAACAAAATACACAATCTGGAAAATAAAGTTGACCACACAGTGAAGATGGAAAGAAATCATAAATAGAACATCCAAGAATTATGGGATAACATAAAAAGACCAAATATAAGGTTTATCAGGATAGAAGAAAGCACAATATCCTCAATGAAATAATATCAGAAAATTTCCCAAACATGAAGAATGAATTGAAAAATCAAATACAAGAGGCTTACAGGAAACCAAATGTACAAAATTACAACATATCTACACCAAACCACATTATAATGAAAATGTCTAGCATACAGAATAATAGAATTCAAGGCCATAAGAGAGAAGAATCAGATTACATATAGGGGGAGACCAATTTGGATCTCAGCTGATTTTTCAGTCCAGACCCTCAGGGCAAGGAGATCCTGTAACAACATACCAAGCTCTGAAAGAAAATGGATGCCGACCAAGAATCTTATATCCAGCGAAATTATGCTTCATATTAAATAAAAACCTTCCATGATAAACAAAAATTAAAAGAATTTACAGCAAGAAAGCCTGCACTACAGAATATTCTTTTCAAAATATTCCATGAGAAGGAAATGGAAAACAACAATGACTATCTGCAAAGTGAGGAACTGCACTAAAGGAAAGGCCAAATGAAAGAGAAACTAAGTCAAATTAAAAACCAAAAATAGGGGCTAGGGGTGTGGCTCAGTGGTAGAGTGCAAGGCCCTGGGGTTGATCCTCAGCACCACATAAAAATAAGTAAATAAAATAAAGGCA